TCGTTATTGTCCAAACTGAAAGCAAACAAGATTTTCTTCCACAGGTGAATAATACACAAACTGTTCAGACAATAGAATATTGTTCAGTACTAAAATGAGCTGTCAAGCGACAACCTGACATGGAAGAACCTCAAATACATATTGCTAAGTGAAAAAGTCACTATAGAAAGGCCATATACTATATGATTACAAATAGATAACATTCTAGAAAAGGCAAAAATTGACACAGTTTTGAAAAAGTCAATAGTTGCCTGGAGTTGAGGAAAGGACAAATGAACACTGAGAATTTTTAGGGCAGTAAAACTGTTCTGTGGGGGCTGGGGTTGTGGCTCATGGGTAGAGCACTCGCCTAGCACATGCAAGGCCCTGGGTTCCATCCTCAGCACCGCATAAAAATAAATAAATTAAATAAAGGTATTGTGACCAAATACAACTAAAAAATAAATATTTAAAAAAATTCTTCTTCTGTGGAATACAGTAATGGTGGATAGTTGTTATTATATGTTTGGCAAAAATCACAGACCATACAATAACAATATTGAAACTTGCTGTAAACCATGGACTTTAGTTAATAATAATGTATGGATGTTGGTTCATCAATGGTAACAAATGTGCCACATTAATGCAAAATGTTAATATAATAATAGGAAATTGTCAGGGCAGAACAGAGGAGGATATTAAAAGGAGTTATATGGAAACTCTATCTTCCACTCATTTTTTTTCCATAAACTGAAACCTGATCTTAAAAAAAATACAACCTGATCTTAAAAAAAATACAACTCAGTGGTACAGCGCTCGTCTAGCACGTGTGAGGCCCTGGGTTCCATCCTCAGCACCACATAAAAATAAATAAAATAAACCTATTCATTAAAAAGTAAAATACGTACCCTTGTCCCGACAGCCTACTTTGGCTCCCTCAGTCTCTCATGTCAAATATGATACTCCATCCAACCATTGCTCAAGCCCAAGGGACAAGTCACCCCAACCCCATGGAGGACTCCTTCCTTTCCTCCTTGGCTGGGCCTTTTGGACTTCAGCATTTGCTTTTCTTCCAGCCCAGCCCTGTGGACCACAGCCCCAGGATGGTCCTTGTTCAGGTCTCAGCCTAGGGGTCCTCTATGGAGGGAGGGCCTTCCACACTGCCTTGTCTCATATCCTCCGCTTTTCCCCTCTGCAGCTTATCACCTGTTGCTTTGCCTTCATGTCATCCTGAAATTAACTTGTTCACTCCAAGGTTTGCATAGGCATCGCCATCCCCACTAGAATGTGAGGGGACAGTGACTCCTTCTGTACCATATAGCCCACACTGTCTCCAACACCTTCAGCAGAGCTTGGCATGGGAGATGCTAGGAAAATATGTACTAGGGGAAGAAGCAGATGTGCATTCTGTTTACAGGAAAAAAATTTGACTATAGTCATCTGAGATTTCCTGTCTATCCCATCTTCCTCCATGCAGTTTTCTTCATAACTAACATCTTGCATGAGTATGGAATATTTGTTACAACTGACGAGCCAATATTGATACATTATTAGGAATTAAAGTCATATGGTTTATATCAGGATTCATTCTTGGTGTCAAACATTCTAGAGGTTTTGGAAAATGTACAATGACATGTAGACATCATTATAGAATCCTACAAAAGTTTGATTGTCACCCATCTCTCCTAGGCTCCATTTATTCATCCCTATCCTGTTCACCTTGAAATCCGGGAAACTACTGAGTTTTTTTCTCAACTTTTCACTATGTCTATAGCTCGAGGTTTCCCAGAATTCCATAGAATTAGAGTAATATAGTACGTAGCCTTTTCATAGTGATTATTTTTCATTTTAGTGGTACACATTTAGGGTTCCTCCTTGTATTTTTGTGGTTTAGTGGTTCATCTCTTTTTTATTATTGAATAATATTCCATTGTATAGAGGTGCCACAGTTTGCTTATCTATTTAACTATTGAAGCAAATAATCATTGCGATCTTGAAGCAATTGTTGCTTCAAGTTTGTAAAATAATTGTTGCAAAGATTGCTTCAAGGTTGCAAAAATTATTAATAAAGCTGCTATAAATGTTTATGTGTAGGTTTCTGCCTGAACATGTAAATGGATGATTCTGGAGGACAAAGTAAGATGTTTTAGCTTTCTAAGAAACTGTCAAACTGTCTTCTAGAGTAGCCGTATCATTTTGCATTCCCACCAGCAAGAAGCGAGAGTTCCTGTTGCTTCCCAGCTTCACTAACATCTGAGGTTGTCAGTCTTCTGGATTTTAGACATTCTAACAGGGACACAGCAAACCTTGTTTTAATTTGTAATTCCCTAATGATGTGCAATGTTAAAAATCTCTTTTTTGTGGGGGAGGGGCAGAGAGCAGGGATTGAATTCAGGGACACTCGACCACTGATCCACATCCCCAGTCCTATTTTGTATTTTATTTACAGACAGGGTCTCATTGAGTTGCTTAGCACCTCGATTTTGCTGAGGCTGGATTTGAACTTGTGATCCTCCTGTCTCAGCCTCCTGTGCCACTGGGATTACAGGTGTGCACCACCATGCCCACCAAGAATCTTTCTATACGTTATTTTTTCATCTCTTGTCTTCCTGATGAAAGGTCTGTTCAAATTCCTTCCCAGTTTTTAATTGGGTTGTTTATGCTTACCTTATGCTTACCTTAAGAGTTCTTTGTATATTTGGGATACATGCCCTCTATTAGATGCGTGTTTTACAAATATTTTCTCCCACTCTCCAGTCTATAGTCTGACTTTTTCTTCTTAACAGTGTCTGTACAAAGAAGAAGTTTTTAATTAAAACCAAGTCCAATTTATCTCTTTCTTTTCTTTCAAGGATTGTGTTTTCAGTGTGGTGTCTAAAAAGTCATCACCAAACCCAAGGTCACCTAAATTTTCCCCAGTGTTATCTTGTAGGAGTTTTCAAGTTTTGTATTTTATATTTAGGCCCATGATCCACTTTGAGTTAGTTTTTGTTGAAAATGTGAAATCTGTGTCTAGATTCATCTTTTTGCATATCCAATTTGTGTGTGTTAGCTTTCTGGAACTGTAACTTAACAAGAAAAAAAAGTTTATTTTGGCTCCTAGTTTCCAAGGTTGTGGTCCCTGATGGAGTCTTCATTGCTATTGGGTCTGTGGTAAGCAGCACATCGAAGCAGGAAGCCCAAAGTTGTTCACATCATGACCAGGAAGTGAAAGAGAGAGGAAGAAGACCAGACAGGGAGTCCATGATCTCCTTCATGGATACACCCCCAGTGACCGTAAGACCTCCCAATAGGCCCTTCCCCTTAGACTTTCCACCCCCTCCCAATGGCACCAAGCTGGGGTCTAACCCTTTAACACACAGGACCTTGGGGGACACTTAAGATCCATTTGTTGAAAAGGCTATCCTTTCTCCATTGAATTGCTTTATTATTTTGTCAAAGATTGGTTGACTATTTGTGTGGGTCTGTTTCTAGGCTCCCTCTTCTGTTTCATTGATCTGTTTGCCCCATCTCCAATTAATCATAGTTAACATTTTGACATATTTCTGTATTAATATATATGTTTATATAAAAGGGTACATGGAGTTTTGGATTGTCTTTCTCCCACTTACTGAGGATATTTTTGAAACTTCTCTAAAACAGTGGCTGAAAACATTGTCAATGTTGAATGTCTTTTGTAAGGAATCAAGATCCCAAATGAGTTCCCTTCAATCTTGTGGGATTGGTGGGAATTCTGCCAAGCGTAACATGATAGGTAGGGCAGTGGCATTCACTTTATGAATACCCCTGTTCCTAGCCTACAAAGGAGTATCAGCCAAGGTTAGACTCCACAGATGAAAATATTCCTTTTTATTCCATCTACAAAAATTATGAATTAAGGAAAATTCATAATCTGAAAAGGAGGAGTTCTCTTTTTCCTCAGTCACCAGAAGGTAAAAGTGAAAGCCTAATTATCATAGGCTAGGTTTATAATATTTCCCTCCTCTTTTTGGAAATGATTTTAACATTTAGATTATACATACACTTTTTTTTGGTACCTGGGAGCAAACCTAGGGGTGCTTAACCACCACATCCCTGGTGCCCCCCACCTTTTTTTTGGAGATAGGACCTTGCTAAGTTGCTGAGGCCAGTTTTGAACTTGTGATCCTCCTGCCTCAGCCTTCTGAGCCCCTAGGATTACAGGTGTGCACGATCGCGCCAGGCCAGAATATACTTACATGTTACTGAAAGCTGCCTCATGTTCTGTTTTGGAAGTTGAAAGGATATAATATTAGGTAAACGAACTAATATTGTATTTCCTGTCCACCTACTCTGAAACATCTTGAGAAGCAGGGGCTGAGCGTGGGTAGGAGCATGAAAGAAAGACACACTGAGGATCAGGGTGGTGGGTAACGATGTCTACAAAGGCCTTCTTAAACCCCCAACCTGCCAAGTCTTTACAACTGAATGGTAGGTATTTTTAATCCCTGTTTTATTGACTGGAGAATTATGATCAGATAGGTTTTTAAAACTAGTGAGAAAAGCTAGAAGCCGGGGAGCGCTAGCTTTAAGTTGGGGGCTGGGGGACAGGAAAGGATCCATTTCCCTGATTCATTCATTCAACACGTTTGTGCTGAATGTCTGTAAATGTACTGCTCTAGCCCCCGAGAAAGGCGGATCCCTCTTGGGTGGGAAGGGATGACATAATGTCACGATATTCTGCATTTATTGGGTGATATTCGTAGCTTGTGTTTTTACTCAGAGCAAACCAGTTATCTGCCCTAGAGTGTTGACCCTCCTATCCATTTATTTCGCTGGCGATGACTTCATTGCAGAAACAGACAGGAATCCATCAGCCCTTCCTCTGTGGACCGCCCTTGACCCAGGCGAGCAATGGTTAGGACAGTGAGCAGCAGATGCAAATTACCTCATCTGGTAGCTCCGCCCCCTCCCCGGCTCCGCCCACGTCTGCCCGGAGTCCCCGCCCCACGTCCAAAGACTGCAGCTAGCGCTCCCCGGCTTCCAGCTCTTCTCACCCGGCGGCCAGGAGAGACGCGGGGCGCGCAGGTGACCCTCCCCAGCGCGGTCAGCGGGCCACCACCGGCCTCCGGACCGCTTTTGCCCCACGCCGGCCTAGTCGGCGCCCGTCAGAAGAGGTCGCCTGCTGACACTGCCCCCGGGATCGCCAGCAGTGCCCTCGCGGCCGCGGGAGCCGAATCCTGGCGCCGAGCGCGGCCGGGAGTGGGCGGAGGGGAGCGTCTCGGAGCGGCCCTGCGGGGCGAAACTGCCAGGGTAAGGCGCGGGCGGCGGGTCGCGGCGGAGGCCGCTGGTGCCGATTACAGTAGAACAAAGGCCTTGTGCCTGCAGTTAGTTCCCGGAATCCCTCTCCTGTGCCTGCCTCATTCCCGGACTCCGCCTCCTCCTGCCCAGCCTCGCTGTCCTGGGCATTTTGGCTCCTGCGCTCCTGCACTCCGCCACCATACAGGCCCGGTGACCCCGCAGCCCCACCCAAGAGCGGGCCCCTCTTGGGTGGGAAGGGATGACATAATGTCACGATATTCTGCATATATTGGGTGATATTCGTAGCTTGTGTTTTTACTCAGAGCATACCAGTTATCTGCCCTAGAGTGTTGACCCCCTATCCAATTTATTTCGCTGGCGATGGATGACTTCATTGAAAAATTATGGATGTCTCACCTCCTTTTGTGTTTTACTAAATTTGATGCCCTTGTTTTGCTTGGCAAGAGGTCTTAAAACTTAGCCTGAGCCTGGGACAGAACCTGGTGGGAGGTACTGATTCTAGCACCAGAGTCCTGCTGCCCCACCCCCCTCATGTCATGACCCAGAAGCTTGTCCCACCAGCTGTCCCCAGTCCCACCCTTGCCAATCCGACTGTAGTTATTTAGGCAGATGGCAGAGGCCACACCAAAATCTTCTCTAAGGAAACTAACAAATGTCACTAGCAATTTGGCTGTGGTTAAGATTTTTTCTGTCTCAGGAAGTAGCTTGAACTTTTAGTTTCTGTAGTTTACAGGTTGTCTTCAATTTTAAATCATCAAAAATCTGCATGACTCTTCATTCTTTACCTGTCTTTCCTCCAAAGTTTCTCCTGTGTTTATTTAAAAGTTAAAGAAAAATCTGCGTGAGATTTAGTTCAGATTATTTGACAAAAGGTACCTTGTTTAAGACAGAAACCAGAAGGATCATAGTCCAAGAGGTACTGTCTTAGAAGTGAAATTTATATTAAAATATGTACTCCATCACTCACACCCACACAAAACCACACTGGGTTTATTTTCCTGTTACATTAATAGACCTTCAAACTATTGAAGAGTCAATGACATGTATGTTCTTTTATTATTAATCTTCATGTTTTATCAAAACTAATACCCAAACTAAAATTCCATTGATGCACTAAAATTATATGTAACTAAGTTTTTTAAAAAAAATCACTGTAAGGCATGCTATGTGTCATACTACTGGAAATGCCCTCTAAGTAAAGAAATGTTCTAATGTGGAAAATAAAAAGTGGCTTTATAATTTATTAAATATTAGTAAACTGGCATATTGCCTGACATTATAGTCAGCCTTCCTTATCTGCAGGTTCTGCATCTGCAGATTCAAGTAACAGTCTGTACTGAACCTGTACAAACATGTTTCCTTGTCATTATCCCCTAATAATGCAACATACCAACAATTTACATTGTATTGATTTAAAGCATGTAGGAGGATGTACATAGGTTCTACACAAATACTACACCATCTTATGTAAGGAATTTGAACATCCTTGGATTTTGGTATACTAGAAGTTAGGTCCAATCTCCAAGGGATACTGAAGGTCCACTGTTCTTTTCCCTGTCTTTTCTTCCTTACAGAATGAACTAGTGGTAGGCAATCCAGGAAAAAAAATAAAGGAAAAGTTGTTATTTAGTAGAGGAGGTTGGCTGCCTTAAGAGTGGGGAGGGGTAGAGAAAAGAGGAATGTAGCATGAGGTATAAGTAGTTGGGAGCCACTGAAAATGTTCTCTGGAGCCAGCAGGAAAACGAACACACTCAGTTACCCCAGGAAGCCAGGGCTTTACTTTATAAACCTGAAAGCCTTAAGCTTTATCACTGGTTTTTGTTTGCTTGACTGTTTTTCAATTCTGAGGGCCCAAAACTATGTTTAAAATTTAAGTGTGACTGGGTGTAGTGGTGCACAGTGCTCTATCTAATGTGCAAGTGGTAATCCCAGCAGCTCAGGAAGTTGAGACAGGAGGGTCACAAGTTCAAAGTCAGCCTCAGCAAAAAAGTGAGGTGCTAAGCAATTCAGTGAGACCCTGTCTCTAATAAAATACAAAATAGGGCTGGGGATGTGGCTCAGTAGTTGAGTGCCCCTGAGTTCAATCCCAAGTACCAAAAAAAAAAAAAAAATTAAGTGTGCCCTAACCACTAGAAACTGGCAAGTCAACAAAAATCTTGAAAATTCTCCCTAATCAATAAGAAAGAGTGCAATAAATAAATGTCTTGCCAGACATAATCAGCTATGAGTTGTTCTTTTTTTAATTTTTTATTCTAATTTGTTATATGTGACAGCAGGATGCATTTGTGCTGGGCAGGGCGAGTGAGATGGGAAATTAGAGGGCTGATGGGGAGCAGGGTGCGCCTGCACTAGAGTCATGCCCAAACTGTTGACTGTGCCTCACCTCACCCATAGGGACAGGGAACAGGGTGTGCAGGATGCTTACGGAAACCCCCTAGGAGTGTCAGACTGATCTCTCTTTCCTCTCCTATCCCAGCACCAATCCTTCAGGCAGGGTCTGGAGAAGCTTCCCTGGCTTTCCAGAACACACTGGTACCAGTAGTAAAAAGAAGTCAAGATGTCACTGCACAATGTCACAGTAGGAGGTAACCGAAGCCTTCCAAGTATAGCAGGGGAGATGGGGGAGAAAGGGAAAGAACAACAAGGAGTTGTTCTTTTTTTTTTAAATTTTTTTATTCTAATTTGTTATATATCACAGCAGAATGCATTACAATTCATATTACACATATAGAGCACAATTATTCATATCTCTGGTTGTATACAAAGTATATTCACATCATTCTTGTTTTCATACATTTACTTTAGGGTAATAATGTCCATCTCATTCCACCATCTTTTTTACCCCCCCTTGCCTCCTCCCTTCCCCTCCTACCCCTTTTCCCTATCTAGAGTTCGTCTATTCCTCCCATGCTCCCCCTCCCAACCCCACTATGAATCAGTCTCCTTATATCAGAGAAAACATTCAGCATTTGTTTTTTTGGGATTGGCTAACTTCACTTAGCATTATCTTCTCTAACTCCATTCATTTACCTGCAAATGCCATAATTTTATTCTTTTATTGCTGAGTAATATTCCATTGTATGTATATGTGTATGTGTATATGTATATATGTATATATATATACACATATATATATGTATATGTGTGTGTGTGTATCACATTTTCTTTATCCATTCATCTATTGAAGGGCATCTAAGTTGGTTCCACAGTTTAGCTATTGTAAATTATGTCACAATAAACATTGATGTGGCTGTGTCCCTGTAGTATGCTGTGTTTAAGTCCTTTGGGTATAGACCGAGGAATGGGATAGCTGGGTCAAATGGTGGTTCCATTCCCAGTTTTCCAAGGAATCTCCATATTGCTTTCCATATTGGCTGCACCATTTTGCAGTCCCACCAGCAATGTATGAGTGTACCTTTTCCCCACATCCTCACCAACACTTATTGTTGTTTGTATTCTTATTAGCTGCCATTCTGACTGGAGTGAGATGAAATCTTAGAGTAGCTTTGATTTGCATTTCTCTAACTGCTAGAGATATTGAACATTTTTTCATATATTTGTTGATTGATTGTATATCACCTTCTGAGAAGTATCTGTTCAGTTCCTTGGCTCATTGATTAATTGGGTTATTTGTGTTTTGTTTTGTTTTGTTTTTGTTTTGGGTTTTTTGGGGTTTTTTTGAGTTTAGCTTTTTGAATTCTTTATATATCCTAGAGATTAGTGCTCTATCTAATGTGCAAGTGGTAAAAATTTGCTCCCAAGCTGCGGGCTCTCTATTCACCTCACTGATTGTTTCTTTTGCTGAGAAGAAGCTTTTTAGTTTCTGTTACTTGATTTTAATTATTGTGCTATAGGTGTCTTATTAAGGAAGTAGGGGCCTAATCCGATATGATGGAGATTGGGGCCTACTTTTTCTTCTATTAAATGCAGGGTTTCTGGTTTAATTCCTAGGTCCTTTATCCACTTTGAGTTGAGGTTTGTGCATGGTGAGAGATAGGGATTTAATTTCAGTTTTTTGCATATGGATTTCCAGTTTTCCCAGCACCATTTGTTGAAGATGCTATCTTTTCTCCAATGTATGCTTTTGGCACCTTTGTCTAAAATAAGATAACTGTAATTATGTGGGTTAGCGTCTGTGTCCTTTATTCTGTACTATTGGTCTACCATTTTGGTGCCAATACCATGCTGTTTTTGTTACTATTGCTCTATAGTATAGTTTAAGGTCTGGTATAGTGATGCCACCTGCTTCACTCTTCTTGCTAAGGATTTCTTTAACTATTCTGGTGTCTTATTTTTCCAGATGAATTTTATGACTGCTTTTTCTATTTCTATGAGGAATATCATTGGGATGTTGATTGGAATTGCATTAAATCTGTATAATGTTTTTGGTAGTATGGTCATTTTAACAATATTAATTCTGCCTATCCAAGAACAAAAAGTTAGTTCTTTGAGAAAACAAATAAAATTTACAAACCCTTAGCCATGCTAACGAAGAGAAGGAGAAAACTCAAATTACTAACAAATGTGATGGAAAAGGAAATATCACAATAGACACTACAGAAATAAGAAGATAATTAGAAATTATTTTGAAAACTTGTGCTCCAATAAAATAGAAAATATTGAAGGCATTGACAAGTTTCTAGAGTCATATGATTTGCCCAAATTGAATCTGGATGATATACATAATTTAAACAGATCAATTTCAAATGATGAAATAGAAGACACTATCAGAAGCCTATCAACCAAGAAAAGCCCAGGACCAGATGGATACACAGCCAAGTTCTACAAGACCTTTAAAGAAGAACTAATACCAATACTCTCCGATTTATTTTAGGAAATAGAAAAAGAGGGAGCACTTCCAAACTCATTCTATGAGGCCAATATCACCCTGATTCTAAAACCAGGCAAAGACACATCAAAGAAAGAAAACTTTAGACCAATATCTCTAATGAACATAGATGCAAAAATTCTCAATAAAATTCTAGCAAATT